TACTACAAGAGCAAATTTACAGTAGCCAAGCATTCATCCCATGCACGGGGGTTTACATGCGTGGTATTATTACCGAGAGGTCATCTTCTTAAGCTCCCGGAGGGACCGCTCAGTGTGCCCCTGAGGCTGGGAGCACAGGATGTACCAGCCAAGATAGGCACGAACGGCATCCATCTAGGGCTGGCGAAGCAGGCTTGCAAAAACAAACACCATGACCTGCAAAGAATGTGGATAGTAGCAAAGGGGAGGGTGAGCACAGATGGTGTGAGGAGTTTGGACAAACAATGGCAGCATGAGCAGACTGCTTGAGGGTTTAGGCCAGGACAAGCAACAAGGAATGGAGGGTTCATACCTGCATGACGACCCTGTGCTCATAGGCCGCCACACATGCTCCGGTCTCGAAGTAGGCGCTCTCTGGTAGGCGCATGTGATTCAGGCGCGTGCGGTCGCGAATGAGAGACAGGCGCCTGCCCATACACATCAGTTTAGCGGTGGCAAAAGGGCAGAAACATGTCAGTAATAGGACAGAACTTATGGTTTGAGTAAATGTGATGAAAAGCAACGAATCCAATCCCCAAAACACTGACCTGTCCATCTGCGTCACACGCCGCTTCTTCATCTTGCGCAAGACAGCCCCAATGTGGCTCAGGATGCCCTGGTCCGCCTGGTGCATGATGTCAGGCATCACCACGAGGTAGGGATTGCCCCACGCGGTCCCTACCACATCCCACTTCCAGAGCACGCACTGGAAATGGGGATGTGGTGGGGAATGGAGGAGAGATGTACGTGAGAGTGGATAGCTAACCTAAACCACAAGTGGGGTGAGTTCAATAGGGCAGAGCACATCTGGCAATTCATGACGGGGCGGGCGAGAGCATAGACTACTCATGGGCCGGGGAAACAGGTCACTCACCTCAATAGGGTAGGTAGAGTAGGCCTTGCACGGGCCAGCCTGGCTAGTTGTCGTCCCAGCCGCCTCGTTAACGATCCATTGCTGCTGTTCAGGCGTGCGCGGCGTGTTCCGTGCCTTGACAGCACTCAGATGCTCCTGTTGTAGCACGGGGGTGAGGGATGGGATAGAAAAGGTAAGGGTGGTAGCTATGTGGGTTCTATCAGGCGACCCACAAACAAGAATGTATTTGAATGCGTGCAGATGGCATGTGATCTCACCTTTGCAACATAGCAGATGCTGCACGGCATCCGCGATCCATGCGAGAGTGTGCAACTGATCTTGCTGCTCTCGGGGTAGTCGCACACCGAGGCGTACAGCAGGGGCCGCACGGTTTGCCAATCACCGAAAGGGTCCCTAAGACGGAACCCGCTGCAAGGAACAGGTAGAGGGGCAACAGGAATTCGGGTTACGGCTTTTAGGGAGGAACGACAAGGGGCAAAGGGCCATGCTACATACAGAGAGGGTTTGCATACCATGCAGGTGGTGAGATGATGTCTTAGCAAGATGCAAACCGAGTACGGACCTGACGATGCCATCAAGAAGCGGCTGCAGCACGGTGATGACGCAACGCTGGAAGAGCATCACCTTCTCCACGGCAGACATTGCAGACGGGGGGATAGGAAGGAGGGCAAGTAGTGTGTGCCCGGCTTTCCCCCATCGCTTGGCCTGGGAGATGCTGGCCAGCGTCATCATGAGCGGCCACGCCTTCTTCCGGCCGTTGATGCTCATGTGCGTCACATCCGAATATAAGATGATCCCCCCCACAACTTCGGACCAACCGAATTGTTCCTGCAGTGCACGACAAAGCGGCAAGGGACACACGGTTTAGGGCTCAAGATGCTCTTAACAGATCAGTGCAGCGATGGAGGCATGAGGAAGGATTGGGTTTGGGGTGGCAACGTGATCTTTCCTTACCTGAGCATCGTTCCACCACGTTCCTATTTCAGGCGTGGTATAGCGACGGCCGCCTGCGTCAGGGTCCTCATCAACACGCGCCTTGAGCTTGAAGCCGGGTGCGTTGTTGGGATGTCCAAACATTTCAGCGAATGCCTGGTGTACGGTGGCGAAGGCAGGTGAGAGGAGAGGCGTGGTTAGTGGCGGTGAAGGTGGGTGTACGGTTAATACAAGGATAAGTACGAACATGCAAACCCTGTGTGCCTCATCATCATTTCACGGCCTTGAATGCAAAGTCGGCTTACGTGTGCTGAGTTCTGAAAGAGCAAGCGCTGTGGTGGATGACCGTCAATCTCGAAGGTCGCCACCGACCATCCGCGATTGAGCCCTGCCAAACGCTCCATCTCGAACCGCTCCAGATCCTTACAGTTCCAGAGCTCCGAGATCACAAGAGACGCAAGGCCGGGCTCTACGACTAGCTGAAGCAGGCCGTTGATGTCAACCTCGGCCATTCCCATTCCGCCATTCATGCGCCGAACGAAATGCAGCAACTTCAACGCGAGCGGATTGAGGGGCGTGGCATTACTCTGTCCGGAGATGATTGTTGGCGGCGCGGCATGACTCCCTTCGGGCTGGCTCTCAGGATGGTCACTCGTGTCAGCCGCAGGAGATCCTGGTTGTGGTTGATGTTCATCTTCAGGAGGCCCCTCGTTCACGTCGTTGGGAGTTTCGTCAACGTGAGCTTCAGGCATGCGTGGAGGACCGCTCACACTGACGGCGTTGGATGCGTTAGACGCTGTAGGTGAACCGGGAGCGGCTGGAGCGTCCGACAGAATGTCGTGGACGAATAGCAGAGCGTGAAGACCGGCGGTCGGTGCAGATCGCGTCGGCCTTGCCACGGCGGATAGTCCTTGGCAAGGGGTCCGCCGTGACTTATGACCGCCATAAACTTGGGCGTTACGGAACCATCTGTTGCAGAACTTGCAGACGACACCTGGTAAAGAGCCCATGTGTTACGGATCCGTTGTAGAGTCAAGAAATCGCCTATGAAGCTACTAGTCGTGATAAAGCTTGTGAACGCATTAAGTACTCCGTTCAAGAAGCATGTGACAGCTACACGATTATCGCCAATGCGCGCACTGTGGTGGGCGGCTTGTATCACTGCACGACTGGCACTTGACATTGGCGCTAATGTTTAGGACTGGCACGATACAGACCACCCACCTCATGGACCGTCTTCTCTACAAGGCGTGTCGCCCCCGTTTAGAGTGACCACGACGTGAGCAGAGGAGAATGCGGAGGATCTTAAGTCTCACAGTCGTGTGTGTGCGTCGCGACCACGGTGAGAAGGACGTGCCTATTGAATCAAGAATTTGTGTTTAGGAACCGTGCGTGAGAGTCGAGGGGGATGAGGAAGAGCGGGAAGAGATCCGTTTGGATCTGTGATTGTGTCGCGAATCGATATAGGGGGGAAATCAGAATCACGTAGATGAGCTCAAGAGGCTTCAAAGAAACATGGAAATGCAAATGTACAGTTACAACTTAACAAGACACTCAAGTCATTCATAACTAGTAAACATTCATATCCTTAGGACTGATGTTGAAAAACCCTTACTTGATAACGATACGGGAAGTACCCAATAACTCCATGCCTTAACGTATGATTGTTGCGTGGAGCGAATACCTATAACGTTTCTTCTCTCAAGGTGTAGTGTACCTCTAGGGACCGTGCTGAATGAATATGCAAGAATGGATGACAATGTCGTACAATAACACAACGGTTTCAATGTCCATGCAATGTTGGATGACAATGCAACACCATACCACAACGGATTCACCATGTCGCGCAACCCACAAGCCTGAATGATCCATCGTCGCACAGTCTAACCATGGCTGTCGATAACGCATCTACGCTTGTGCGTCGGACCTGTGTTTGATACAACTTCTTCTAAGCACCTTGTTTAATGTCTGTGCAAGAATGGATGCCAATGCAACACCATACCAGAACTGATTCACCATGTCGCGCAACCCGCAGGCCTGAACGGTGCATCGTCGCACAGTCTAACCATGGCTGTCGATAACGCATCTACGCTTGTGCGTTGGGCCTGTGCTTCATACAACTCCTTCTAAGCACCTTGTTTAATGTCTGTGCAAGAATGGATGCCAATGCAACACCATAGCACAACGGATTCACCATGTCGCGAAACCCGCAGGCCTGAACGCCGCATCGTCGCACAGTCTAACCATGGCTGTCGATAACGCATCTACGCTTGTGCGTTGGGCCTGTGCTTCATACAACTCCTTCTAAGCACCTTGTTTAATGTCTGTGCAAGAATGGATGACAATCCATCACCATACCACAACGGATTCACGTTTGTTACTATTGATAATCGTGTTAGAATGTCGTCCGCTGGCCCGAAACCATTGTGGCAAAGCCTAAAAGTGCACAGTACATCTGTCACAAGTAATAATTTTGGACGGTCGTTGTGTGTGTGACGTAAGAATCACCGATTAACTTACCCCAACCTCGTGGTAAACCATTTGCAACTTAGAGTTTGATGAAATGCATTGTTGTATGTTTGAATAAAATTTAGTGATTTATGCGTTGGCAACCGTGATTGGCCGACGCATCTCAAACGATTCCCCTCGCAACACAGTCATCAGCCAAGAGGTACTTCAGCTATTGAGCGGTTGAGATCAAGCGGTAAGTGGGTTTATGCTAGGGTGGCTACACGTACACCGTCCAATATAGCCAGATAGGGTTACATTACTCTCTCTAGTCTCGCAACCCACCCCAACCACCCTCGTGTCCCACCCACCTGCTTCCGTCACTCCCTGGACCAACACTTAGACGCTGCTCGTTCCCTTGACACACTTTAGCGCGAAGCATAGTGGCTACTATGACAGATTTAGTTGAAGCGGCGGTTTTCGAAACCCCGTACAGTGATAGACCGTCGATAATCCCATCGTGGGAATCAGTTGCAGAAACCGGCTTAACCCTTCCGCGCGATTTGCAACTTTTCTCCTCCTACAATTACCATGACACGTGCAACACGTAACCAAGCAATGGAGGAGGAACAGACCGGCCGCCGCGCAACAAGGAGGACGTCTAAACAAATCTATAGAGAGTGTGGGGGCGGCGCTAAAAAAACTAATGCGTCCGTCGCTCGCGGCAAAAAAGGTCGCGCGCGGTCAACAGGAGGCCGGCAAGAAAGCGGAAGACAAGGGCCCTAAACCAAAGCCACGCAAGCGTATTTCTACAGTGAACAAAGATGCGCATGTTGCCTCTGCTGGAACCGAGCCCGGTCCGAGTAAAGACGGCACCACTGGCGGCAACGAAGATCCGGGGCGAGGGAGCACGAGTCTTGCACTCCCGTCGGCGGAGATGGAGGGATCGACGACGTAGGGAAATCACGGAGGTGATCCCCGCGCCGAGCATGCCGCAACCAAGGAGTCCGAGGCGGCGGCAACGCAACAGCATCTGACGCTGCTCCAGCCGACCGTGGTCGAAGTTTCTGCAGCCGTGCTGGATAAGGACAAGGTGGGGGAGCACGAGTCGGTGGGGCTGGTCTGTGGCTCTCCACCTTCTGGTGGACGGGGGAGGCGTAGGCAGAGGAAGAGCGATGGGGAGGACGATTATGACACCGCCGTGCCCGGGGACCACATTACGCGGGCGAAGAGGCGGCAGACGACAGGTAGTGCTGACGACGCCGGAGGCGCGGCAGTTGGGACACCGCGAGGCGCCAAGGAAGCTAGTGGCAAGGCGGGCGGTCAAGCATTGCGCCAGAAGGGCCGACCCGCAGCAATAAAAGCATCCGGTGGAAGGAGAGGCAAGAAATCAGCGACGGGAACAAAGCCGAAACGGAGCGATGAAAACCCCAGTGATGCGGAGGAGGAGGAGGATGAGGAGGAGGATGCGGAGGGAGAGGAGGATGAAGAGGAAGTGGAGGAGGATGACGTGGATGTTGGGGAGGATGAAAAAGATGAGAATGATGGCGGGGAGGACGAAGAGGAGGAGGAGGAGGAGGATGAGGAGGAGGAGGAGGAGGAGGAGGAGGAGGAGGAGGAGGAGGAGGAGGAGGAGGAGGAGGAGGAGGAGGCAGAGGAGGAGGAGGAGGAGGAGGAGGAGGAGGAGGAGGAGGAGGAGGAGGAGGAGGAGGAGGAGGAGGAGGAGGAGGAGGCAGAGGAGGAGGAGGAGGAGGAGGAGGAGGAGGAGGAGGAGGAGGAGGAGGAGGAGGAGGAGGAGGAGGAGGAGGAGGCAGCGGAGGAGGAGGAGGAGGAGGCAGCGGAGGAGGAGGAGGAGGAGGAGGAGGAGGAGGAGGAGGAGGAGGAGGAGGAGGATGTGGCACCAGTGAAGGGACGGGGTGGGCGTGGCAGACGGGTGAGTGGTACAGGGAAGGAGGGGGGCTGGACTCGCCCTTCCCGAAAACGCGGGGCAGTTGACGCTGTGTGCGGCGAAGCATCGGGCAAACCAAAGGCGCGTAGGGTGAAGGTCGAAAGTGAAGGGGTTGGTAAAAAGTAAGGGAGCCAGGGAGCAAAAGGGGATGGAGGAGGAAAGGGTGGCCGCGCCAAAGGGGTTCCAGTGCCTTCCAGCAAGAAAGAACCTGCCGGTAAACGTCGCAGCGTCCGCCAAAGCACCCCGCGGAAAGGTGGCAACGAGAAGGCGCAGGCTGCCCCAAAACCGAAGGGACAGCAGAAATGTGAGCATTGTGTCCAATAAAACTGACGTGACGTGTTGAACCATCTGCTAAACCGGGCCAAAAAACACCCTTTTTTCAAATTGTTTCTCCCATACAGGGAAGGAGAAGGTCGACGAATCTGCCAAGCAAGGTAAACCCTCTTGTCTCAAACCAGTACAACCCTGAACCCGATCTAGATTCAAACCTTTCTGAATATGCATGCATGTCTGGCCCTGCCTTGAAACCGATCGACTCTAATTTTGTTTTCCGGCTCCCTCTACATCTCAGCCCCTCGCGTTACAGGCATTGGGCCGCCCGTAAGCGTGCAACGAATGCATCTAACGAAGGCTGCCGGAAGAGCGAGTGTTACACCGCTCTCCTCCAGAGCACCAAGGTACTACACGCCATGGGCCGGCCCGAGCATAGTCGATGCGACGGCACCAGGCGTGCCAAGAGGAGAGGAATCCGAATCCCCTCCACCCGCCCCCGTCACGCAGTCCCCACTCGCCTCACCCTCGTACCGATTTCGGCAACTCCACGCTTCTCCTGTCCGGGGCAGGGCGGTCTCCCCTCTCGCCAATCCTTCGCGCGGGCATCAGGCAAGCAGTTATGCCAATCCCTTCCCTGAGCTCCCCTTTTCCCGCCAGCGTGATAGTGTGAGGGAACACGGGACTGCTGCAGAAGACGTTGATCCCCTTGGCCAGAGGGGGGATTCTTCACACCCTTTTCCTCCGCTCATGGGTGCCCTAGGTGAAAGTGTGGAGCACGAGCATTTTGTTACACGGGAGGAGTTCCAGGTGCTGCGGTCAGAGATGTACGCCATGTTTGCACAGCTCGGCCTGCGTCGTGGAGTACCTGCCAGCTATGCCGGCAGGTCGGCAGCCCTGCCTATGGCTGGTACCCCGCCGCCGATGAGCACCGTGGACAAGGCACGAGTGCTAGTGTTGTAGGAGACAAACCCATTCCTGGTATGTGGCAGGCCACATGGGGAGGGTTGGGGTTGACGTGGCAACAAGGGCGGGGTTGGGGCTGACGTGGCGGTTTCGAAGGGAACACGGGAGCGGCGCATGACGAGGCGACGCGTATCAGGTGGGTGGGGGGTGACGTGGCACGGGGTGGGTGGGTGTGACGTGGCAAGTGGGCGGGTTGTTGGTGGACGTGGCGGATGCGGGTTGGGTGTGACGTGGCAAAAGGTGAGGGCTGGGATATGACGTGGCAGTGTGAAAGGGTGCAAGGGAGTGCCGCATGATGACGCGAGGCGTTTCAGGTGGGTGGGGGGTGACGAGGCTCTTGGTGGGGGGTGTGACGTGGCAAGTAGGGCGGGTTGTTGGCGGATGCTGGGGGGTGTGACGTGGCAAAATGTGAGGGTTGGGGCTGACGTGGCGGTTTGGAATGGTACACGGGAGCGGCGCGTGACGAGGCGACGCGTGTCAGGTGGGTGGGGGGTGACGTGGCATGGGATGGGAGGGTGTGACGTGGCACGTGGGGCTGGTTATTGGTGGACGTGGCGGACAAGGAGGGTGTGACGTGGCACTTGGGGCTGGTTGGTGGACGTGGCGGATGCAAGAGGGTGTGACGTGGCGGAAGGTGAGGGTGGGGGATGACGTGACAGATGCAGATGGGTGTGACGTGGCGGAAGGTGAGGGTTGGGGATGACGTGGCACCCTAAAAGGGTACACGTGAGCGGCGCATGACAGTGCGAGGCGTTTCAGGTGGGTGGGGGTTGATGAGGCTCTTGGTGGGGGGTGTGACGTGGCAAGTAGGGCGGGTTGTTGGCGGATGCAAAAGGATGTGACGTGGCAGAATGTGAGGGTTGGGGTTGACGTGGCGGTTTGGAATGGTACATGGGAGCGGCGCGTGACGAGGCGACGCGTGTCAGGTGGGTGGGGGGTGACGTGGCATGGGGTGGGAGGGTGTGACGTGGCACGTGGGGCTGGTTGTTGGTGGACGTGGCGGATGCAGGAGGGTGTGACGTGGTACGTGGGGCTGGTTGGTGGACGTGGCGGACAAGGAGGGTGTGACGTGGCGGAACGTGAGGGTTGGGGATGACGTGGCGGATGCAGGTGGGTGTGACGTGGCGGAAGGTGAGGGTTGGGGATGACGTGGCGGTTAGAAATGGTACAGGTGACCACTGCGCATGACGAAGAGAGGCGTGTCAGGTGGGTGGGGGGTGACGTGGCTTGTGGTAGGGGGGTGTGACGTGGCAAGTGGGCCAGGTTGTTGGTGGACGTGTTGGATGGCGCAGGGTGTGACGTGGCAATTTCAAACAGTGTTGCTAGTCACCATCCCATGGTCACGCGGCCACCCTCATAACTGCTGGTTTCTCTCTTCCATGTCGTGTTGTATACCTTACACCCCTGCGCAGAACAAAGCCTACTTAGTGTGCTCTCAACTCATGTTTCTGAACCCGCCGGAGAAAATATAGTACGACCCTGCACCGGAGGAAGTGTTCGAAGCGTTCTCTGTCCACTTGTCTGCAGAAGGGCTCGAGGCAATGAAGTTGCTGTGGTTGCACTATGACAAGTCAACCATGGGAGTCTTCAACCACCAGCTGTCCTCAACAAGGTCAACTATCAACTCCACCCTCAGGCTAGCAGCATACACCGGCATGGGCCTTGCCGATTACAGCCATCTCGTGGATAGCCTGCCCACTGAGCTACACCCAACGACCTGGTTCGACGACGATCAACTCCTAGCCGAGTACAGAGATGGTATGTGCAGTGCAACTCGAAATCACAATATGCCCTACCATATGCCCCTTGGCAGCTACATATCACTGTGCGATGTGGCTCACCCTGACTCTCATCCCCCCATTTGATTTCTCTACAAAACCCTTTCCAACCCATACCCTCCCTACCAAAAAGCAGAACAGTGGGCCCTCAACTGGCACTTTGACAAGGCCACCGGGACACCCTTTAGCAACCCCTTGTTCGCTTATGCGTTCAAACTCTCCTTCAAGAGGGGCGGGGCGGTGTTCACCAAGTTAAAGAGCCGCATGGTGGCATGGGGCCTGTTTTCGGTAAGGATGTAGATATGTGTTTGTACCCCCATGCCTCATCCCCTTAACCCCTTGCCTGTACTTCAGCAAAAACCCTGGTCGATTAGGCCTTTGCATTTACGTAGATAGTGATGACTGCATCACCGGTTTGAGTTGCCTCATTTACCTGTAACCTACCCTCCTCATAAACCATCCACCCAACCCTACACCACATTGCAGATCTGTCAGAATCCCAACCACTAGACCATTGGGATAAAAGGGCTTGTTTCAGTAGCGGGTCAGTGCGCCCATAACCCCCAGGCAAACGCGCCTGTAACCCCCCCTAGGATCGATCGGGGATCTCACAGTGTAGCTCTACTGACAAGATCGTATGGCCCCTTCTGCAGGATAAGCGTCGCAAGCGAATCAGTAGCCACCCGGAGCAGAACAGGCCAGACTACCAGGAGTGGTGCGAAAAGGACAAACACATGATCCATTTTGCTGTCGTGGAGTGGAGGATCCCCCACGATCCGGCTATGGGTGCGTTCGTCTTACCGAACAAGTTCCTCATCGACGACGGCGACCTTAGAGATGTCGTGCTTGCCCAGCGGGCGCTTTCAAGGCCCGCCGGTGCGTAGGCTATTTGACCTGGTGCTAAGACTGCTTGTTGCTAGAATGCTGAATAATGGTTCTTGTAAACCGCAATAATAAATGCAATTTTGAAATCCTCAATATCCAAAATGAACAAAAACAGAATTTAGTTCTAAATAATTTGGTCATGAATTTGCAACAAAACGGATTGCGCCCGAATGTCATCCAGAAAAGCTCGCGTGCCAAATTGGAACTTGAACCGAGCCAAACCTTATCGCGAGATGTGTCTCGGAGCTCCTATCAAATGATTCCAACCGTCGGTCCAAATTGGCTCCGGATTTTGTTACGTGAAGACAATCGAAATCAAAATTCGTCCAAACTTGGCATAGGGTTTTTGTGATGCACCTTCAGCCTTGGTTCTAGTTCAGTTTCCTGGCATTCTACACGTTCGTCTTCAGTTCTTGGCTCCAGCTGTGAGGCCAAGATCTACGCCACAGCCATGGCTGCACAGGAGCTACGCTGGCTCACCTACATGCTGACCGACTTGGGAGAGCGGCCTCGTTCTCCTCCAAATCTGTACGTCGACAACAAGGCCGCCATTGCCTTGTGTCAGGAGCACAAACTGGAGCACAGAACGAACCACATCGCTCTGCGTTACTTCCTGGCTCGAGAGTTGCAGTAGCATGGCCAAATTCGTCTTGCTTACGTGGCCACTCGAGCCAACACTGCTGATATATTCACCAAGGCGCTTCCGTCTGGTGATCATCAGCGTTTCTGCACCTTGTTAGGCCTAGTGCCCACACTTCCTCACTTGCTGTAGGCTTTGTTTGTACTGTGATCTATATATATTCGTGCATGCTTGCTCTGGTAGGTAGAGATCACTGTGCTGCTGTTGTTACATATATATCTGTGCATGTGAACTGGCCTTGTAGCCTTTTGCTTGTGCTCAGACTGCGTGGTGACGTTATGATCCACCCTGAGTTCTGTTTTGTTTCTTCCCTTGACTGGTCTTGTGACCGTTGCTTGCTCTGGCTATCCCCCATTTTGCCTATGGGGGTGTGTCAAATTATATATACTTGTTTAGGTTATCTAGGCTGCATGGGGTTTAGCACTAAGGGGTACATAAACTTTCTCGATACCCTAGTTTTGTACCCACCCCTTCACCTAATTTCATCATCCTTACCTTAGTTTTTAACAGGTAGGTGACAGGTCGGCGGTGGCGGTCGGCATTACGTTTAGCGATGATGTTGGATTTTATTATTGCGTCTGTTGCCCGGGTCCGTGCTGCTTGTAATATTTTGGCGAACTGTTGTGCTCGTGGCACTGGGTTGTTGGGATTCGGGGTCATGGGTACTGTCGGGTCTTGTACGTAGTTCAGGTAAAACGGTGACTGTTGGGTCGTGGCGGACGGTGAGTTGTTGTATGTGAATTCAATGAGTGGCAGTTGTTGTTCCCAGGTGGTTGGGTTGTCGCACGTGGCTCTGATGAGTTGCTCCATGGTCTGGTTTGTCTAGTCTATCTGTCCGTCAGTTTCGGGGTGGTATGAAGAGCTGAACTGTAGTTGCGTGCCGAACTGCTGCCATAGGTTCCGCCATAAGTTGCCGGTGAATTTCGTGTCGCGGTCGCTAATTATTGCTGCTGGTATCACGTGCAGTCGAACGACGGTGGAGATGAAGAGGCGTGTTGTATCTTCGGCTGTGATTGATTTTTTTGTAGGCTGCGAAATGTGCCATTTTCGTCAGTCAATCGACGACAACCAAGATCGTGTCGTTCCCACTCGCTTTGGCCGGTAACCCCGTGACAAAGTCCATCGTCACCTGCTGCCAAGCACGCTCTTGCGGTGGTATCGGCTCCAACTGTCCTGCCGGGGATGATTTCATGAGCTGGCAACTGGGACACGATGCCACGTGTCGTTGTACGTCGGTCAACATTTCGGGCCATTAATAGTATTGCTGCAGCTGCTGCCGTGCTTTTTCTACTCCGAAATGCCCCGAGGTAACTCCGTCGTGTGCCTCCTGTAAGAGTAATTCCCGTAGCAGTGTATACCCAGGCACCCAAATGCAGTCGGTCCCGGCTTTTACGTAATAGACTCCCCTTGGTGCTGTGAACTGCTGCGAATTTCCTCCTGTGAAGAATGGATCCGTTTGGTACCCGTGGGTAAATAGGCCTGTCAGTAGGGGACTGGTCTGGGCGAATAGTATTGCGTGGATCTGGGCAGTCGGGCGGGTCAGTGCGTCGGCGATGTTCGAGGCTCCCTTTTTGTAGGTGACCGTGTAGTGAAAATTGGACTCGGGAAAATCGAGCCAGCGAATATGTCGTGGGTTGAGGTGTGGTTGTGTGCGAAGGTACTGTAGTGATTTATGGTCTGTCTGTACTGTCACG